GGGGAGTGCTGCTTAGCCAGAAGCTGGGCTCATGGCTGGCGAGTGCAGCAATAGTGGCAGGAGCCTCTCCTGCCTCCGCAGCAGCACTAAGGAGCAGTGAGCCGAGCGGTAAGGAGCCTGCTGCTATGGAGCAGTGAGCTGAGAGGTAAGGAGGGAGCAGGCAGGAGGTGAGGAGCAAGGGATCCTGGACTGTGAGAGGGATGTCCGACTGCCGGCTTAGGCCTGATCCCCAGGGATTGGGCCTAAGCCGGCAGTCGGACTTCCCCTGAGCGGTCCCGGACTGCGAGGACTGCAAGGAGAAATAAAATTAATACCTGGGTGCATTAGAGGGAAACTACAGAAGAAAAAAAAGGAGAGAATATCTTAAAAGTAGTCAGAAGAAAAGTGGCAGTCAAACATTCCCTGAGGGGTCCCAGACTGCAAGAGGGCACAGGCCGGGCTGAGGGACCCCCCCCCCAACATAATATCATACTTGGATTATTTGGAAAATATTGGTTGAGTTCTTCAAATCTTCCAAATGTTAAAACATTTCATTTAGCCGAAACCGGTTTGGCTCAGTGGATAGAGCGTCAGCCTGTGGACTGAAAGGTCCCAGGTTCGATTCCGGTCAAGGGCATGTACCTGGGTTGCGGGCACATCCCCAGTAGGAGATGTGCAGGAGGCAGCTGATCGATGTTTCTCTCTCATCAATGTTTCTAACTATCTCTCTCCCTTCCTCTCTGTAAAAAATCAATAAAATATATTTAAAAAAATGTAAATGACTGCTGAGACAAAAATAATGGCAATGTATTGTGTGGCTTATGATATGTACAGTGAAATGAATGGCAACAATAATTTACAAGCCGAGAGGGGAGAATGGAGGTAAACTATTGTAAGAGTTTCATATTATGCATGAAGTGGTATATTATTACTTAAGGGTGGCTATTATGAGTTAAAGATGTATACCACAAACGATAAAGCAACCTCTAAAGTCAGAAAACGAAGAGTTTTAGCTAACGAGCCAACAAAGGAGATAAAATGAAGCCAATAAGAATACTAAAAAAAAAAGAAGAAGAAAAAAGAAAAGAAAAGAGAGAGAGAAAAAAGGGAACAAAGAACAGGTGGGATGCCTGGCCCGTGTGGCTCAGTGGTTGAGCATCCACCTAGGAACCAGGAGGTCATGTTTGGATTCCTGGTCAGGGCAAATGCCCAGGTTGTGGGCTCCATCCCCAGCAGGGGGCGTGCAAGAGACAGCCGATCAATGGTTCTCTCTCATCATTGATGTTTCTCTCTCTCCCTCTCTGAAATCAATAAAAATATATTTTTAAAAAAGAACAGGTGAGTTGTATAGTAATTTAATGAACAAACTGAACTAACAAGCAAAACAGAGACAGCCTCATTGAGCAAAAAGGAAAAAAAGACAGAACCCATGGACGTGGACAACAGTGTGGTGATTGCTGTGGGGAGAGGGGTGAGTGGAGGTGGAAGAGGGCATAGGGAGGATAAATGGCGATGAGAATAAATAAATAAATAGATTTAAAAACATGGCAAATTTAAAACTGACCATGTCAATAATCACTTTGAGTGTAAGTGAATTAATTACCCAATTAAAAGGTAGAAATGGTCATGTTGAGTAAAAAAGCAAGACCCAACCAAAAGCACACTTAAAATATAAAATCACAAATAGGTTAAAAGTAAAAGGCTGTAAAAACTTTTTACGTCATGCTAACACTAATCTATATTAATACTGGACAAAGTACAATTCACAACTGAAAAGTTCATAAATTGGACTTCATTAAAATTAGGAATTTGCTGTTCAAAAGACACTGTGAAGAGAATGAAAAGACAACTCACAGCCTGGGAGAAAATATTTGCAAATATTTCTGATAAAATACGTGTATCTAACCCTAGCTGGTTTGGTTCAGTGGATAGAGCATCAGCCCAGGGACTGAAGGGTCCCGGGTTCGATTCCGGTCAAAGGAACGTACCTTGGTTGCAGGCTCGATCCCTGGCCCTCGTTGGGCATGTGCAGGAGGCAACCAATCCATGTGTCTCTCTCTGTGTCTCTCCCTGTCCCTTCCACTCTTTCTAAAAGTCAATGGAAAAATAGTGAGGATTAACAACAAAAAATAATTTGTAAAAAAAGGAATGTTTCCAGCCCGGCCAGAGTAGTTCGTGGTTGAGCATTGACCTGTGAACCAGGAGGTCATGGTTCGATTCCTGGTCAGGGCACATGCCCGGATTGCGGCTTGATCCCCAGTGTGGGGCATGCAGGAGGCAGCTGATCAATGATTCTCTCTCATCATTGATGTTTCTATCTCTCTCTCCCTCCCTCTTCCTTCCTCGCTGAAATCAATAAAAATATATTTTAAAAATAAATAAAGGAACATTTTTAAAAAAAGACTGTATCTAGAATATATAAAGAATCCTAAAAACTCAGAATTAAGAAAACAAACTACCTCATTTTAAAAAATCAATTGTATTTTTATATACAAAGAGCAATCAATTAGAAAAACAAGGTATCCACACACAATTAATTTTACAATAGCATAAGAATATTAAATACCTAGGAATTAATCTAACAAAAAAGGTCCAAGAACTCTACACAAAAAACAATAAAACACCCTGTTTGGGGGCAGCATCCGGGAGGCGGTGTGGAGACCTGAGGGCCACCTATGTGGGTGCTGGGTGGGGTTCAGTCCTCGACGGGTCCTCCCTACCATGGCCACTAGGTCACCCTCTCGGGGTCCCTGGGGCAGCCCCTCCGCGGGAATGTCTTGCTGCGCAGCTTCACCTTCCAGGTCCTGGCTCCAGAGCCCTGGGCACAGCCCAACATGACTCAGTGATTGTGGAAAAAAATGCAATAAAATGTGAAATGTGGGCCCTGCGCCCATGAAAAAAAAACACAATAGAACATTATAGATGGAGGTTATAAGAATACCTAAAAATTGAGAGATATACCATGTCTATGGAAGGAAAGTCAGTTTTCCTCAAATTGGTCATATATTAATTATAACCCCAATCAAATCTCAGCATATCATGTGTGTATGGAAACTCATGAGGTGAGTTTAAAATTTAAATGGAAATATCAGTTGTCAAGAATTGTAGTCACTTCTGAAGAATAAGTTGGAGAGACTTGAGTTTTAAGATAAGATTTTTATAAGGCTAAAATTAAGACCTACATCAGTACAAAAAGAGACAATTAGCCCCACGGACAACTAAACAGAGCCCAGAAAATGACCCAAGCAATGTAGATGTATGGCCATAATTTATGACCAAGGTGGAACTAGTGTGAAAAGGTCTTTTCATAAAAAGTCATGGGACAATCAGATATCCTTATAGGAAAACACACACACACACACACACACACACACACACACACACACACACACACACACACTACTCCGCTTCTTCACAGGACACAGAGAGCAATTACAGATGCCCGAGGATCTAAATGGAAGAGATGAAACAACTAAATTTGTAAATGATAAAAAATATCTTCATGACATCAAGATAAAGATGTCTTTGAAAGGATACAAACAGCACCACCCACAAGGAAAATAACTCAGAAGGCTTCTGTATTGAAATTAAGATCTTCTGTCCACCCCTCCCCCCCCCCCCAAAAGGTTACTATTAAGAGAATGAAAAGGAAGATTCTGAACGGGAGAGTGGATTTGTAGCACACGTGGTCAAGTGTGTCCTCCAAAGACGGCCTCAACAATACCTCCCAGTTCACACGATTTTCTGCGTGTGACCTTCCCTCTCCCGCTCCAAGAATTGGAGAGGATGCCCCCCAGGCAGGCTGTGACTACTGAAAAGTCATGTTCTACATGAGGCTTCCCTGGGGAAGCCAGCTCAACTCCCTGAGATTGGCATCCTGGAAAGGCCATGGGTGGGTTTGCCCATTGACAGCCCAGCCAAGCTCCAGATAAGTTCAGCATCAACTGGTGGCCATGCCACCCAGCCCAGCCCTCCGAGGGCTGACGACTGTATGAGAGGCCCCAAGAGAGAATTACCCAGCCAGACTCTTCTCAAATTCCTGACTCTCACAAGTATAAGCACAACCAAAAACGTTGCTGTTTTACACCACCACATTTTGGAGTAATTTGTTACACAGCAGTAATAATCAGAACTGGCAAGGACTCATATCTATACTAATGATAGAGGAATATGCAAATTGGCCGGGACACCATCACGTAACGACCAGTCAGGACGGTGGTGGGACTGCTGTGGAGAGCTCTCAGCATGCCTGCGCCGGGGTTTGAAGGGCGCAGAGAGGAAGGAAGAGCAGATAGGCAGTTAAGGTGATCAGGCCAAGAGGGGAGAGCAGATAGGCAGTTAGGGGGATCAGACCAGGAGGGGAGAGCAGATAGGCAGTTAGGGGGATCAGGCCAGGAAGGGAGAGCAGTTCGGGCCATAAGGCCGTCAGGGGAGCAGTTAGGGGCATCAGGCAGGCAGGCAGACAGGCAGGCAGATGAGTGGTTAGGAGCCAGTGGTCCCAGATTGGAGAGGGTGCAGGCCGGGATGAAGGACCCCCCCCCCAACCCCCTGCACAGAATTTCATGCACCAGGTCTCCAGTCCAAAATATAAAACGAACTCCTACAAACCAATAAGAAAAAGACAATGGGTGGTAGTAAGGAGCAAAAGACTCGAAATCCAAATGGTCAATTATAAAAAATGTGCTCAATCTCAGCAGTAATTAAGGAAAAACCAGTGGAAACCATGATGCAATGGATGCCACTAGAATGGCTAAATTTTAAAAATAAAAACTGACAGTGCTGTTAGTGACGATGGAGAGCACAGGGAACTAGTGGCTGCTATGGAGTGCAAAGTGGTACAATGAATGAAAAATAGTTGTCACTGTCTACCAAGTGGAAGGTCACATTCTGTGACCTAGCAGTGTCACTCCTAGACACATACCCTGGAGCACAGGACACAAGTACACGAGGAAACCTATACAGGAGTGCTCGTGCCTGCCCGGTGCCGTCCGTGGTTAGAGCATCAGCGTGTGCACCAAAGGGATCACTTCCCGGTCAAGGGCACACACCTGGGTTGTGCAGGAGGCAACCAGTTGTGTCTCTCTCACATTGATGTTCCTCTCTCTCTCCTCTCCCCCTCCCACTCTGAACAGCAATGGAAAAAATATCTTCAGCTGAGGTTAATGAGAAAAAAAGAAGAAGAGTGTTCATAACAGTAAAAGTTGAAAACTGGTAACAGCCCAAACTTCCCTTACAGTTCAGTACATAGACCAATAGTTTTCACGCAGTGGAAAACTGCACCAATGAAAATGAGCAAAATAATGGCCAGCAGAGCAGTACATGTGAATTTCAGAAAAGATGTTGAGCAAAAGAATATATATGAAAGGAACCCATTTAAATAAGATTTTAAAACAAACAAAACATGTACTTGGGTAATAAAATGACAAATAAAAGCAGGGGGACGGTAAAGCCAGGGTTTGAGGACTGGGGAAGGGTTTGTGGTGGAAAAGGGGGGGTTTAAGAATATATATGAAAGGAACCCATTTAAATAAGATTTAAAAACAAACATGTACTTGGATAATATAATGACAAAGAAAAGCTGGGGGGTGGTAAAGCCAGGGTTTGAGGACTGGGGAGGGGTTTGTGGTGGAAAGGGGGGGCTGCTGATATTCTGGTGCCATTCTGTACCCCTTGATCTGGGGTGGGTGCATGGGTGTGTGCTTTAAATTGTACATTTGTAATACGTTAGTATGTACTTTCCATGTGTGTTACCTCTCACAAGAACATTTCTTAATTTGAAAACTAAAGAATATTGGAAGAAAATCAATATATGGGTGAAAAAATCTAACTTCATTTACTATTTGATTGCCTAGTTTCCTCCACGTTGTTTATTAAATCAGCAAAACTAACCCCATTGATTTGCGATTCCAACTTCATAAAATATTCAATTCTTTTTTTAAAATATATTTTTATTGATTTCAGAGAGGAAGGGAGAGGGAAAGAGAGATAGAAACATCAATGACCATCCGCTGCTTCCTGCATGCCCCACACTGGGATTGAGCCTGCAACGGGGACAGCGAGCACGGTGACCTCTCCACCCTCCCATGGGTGCGGCTGACCAGGATTCCAACCATGACCTCCTGGCTCATGGGTCCATGCTCAACCACTGAACCTGTGCCGCAGGCAGGGCATGTATTCAATTCCTAGTTACACTTGTTACCAACAGCCTGGTCTTGGTCTTTGGCTAGAATGAACAGATCGGGGGAGGGGTGGGGGAAGTGTGAATGAAGTAGAACAAAAGCAGAGGGAGATAGTCATCGTCATGGGACATTTATTTATTTATTAGAGGCCCGGTGCACGAAATGTGTGCACAGGTAGGGTCCCTAGGCCTGGCCGGCGATTAGGGCTGATTTCTGGGGCAACTGGTGGGGTGATCTGGGGGGCCCCTGCTGACACCCGCCTTGGCTGGCCTGGTGCCGCCCATTCACTGGCCCCGCTCCCCATCACCGCTGGTAGCCTCCCTCTGTGGGGTGACTGGGGGAGTGATGGGGGAGAGGGGGTCTGCTGGCACCCACCTTGGCTGGCCTGGGGCCTGCAGGCTGGGGGCAGTTCCTACATTGAGTGTCTGCCCCCTGGTGGTCAGTGTGCGTCATAGCCTCAGTCGTTCTGCCGGTTCTGTCGATTTGCATATTAGCCTTTTATTATATAGGATTTATTTATTGGTTAATCTTCACCAGAGGATATTTTCCTATTGATTTCCAGAGAGAGTGGGAGAGAAGGGGGGGGGGGGGGGGGGGAGGGGGGGTGTTGTGTGGGTGGTGGGAGAGACAGAGAGAGAGAGAGGGAGAGAGAGAGAGATGTGAGAGACACATCGATCGGTTGCCTCCTGCTCATGCCAGCACCCAGGCGGGAATTGAGCCTGAAATGCAGCTACTACCCCTGACGGGGAATGGAACCCTCGACCCTTCCGAGCGCGTCCAACGCTCTAACTAGTGAGCAACACCGGCCAGGGCGGGGCTTATTTTAAATAGGAAAATTCTAGAGGCAACTGCAAAGAGAAAGGAAGTCATTGGGAGGGTTGCCAAGTCAGGGGGTGAAGTGTCACCTGATAAAAGAATGAGCTCAGAGCGAAACTATTTAGGGGAGACCTAGGAGCTGGCGGTGCCTGCAGGGTGGGGTGCACTGCCCGGGTTGCCCGGCCGCGGCACACACAGCTGCCGTCCGCACCATGTAGGTGGCAAGATAAAGGCTGAGGAATGTTCCCCAACATTTGGCATGTAGCTATCTTTAAGTTATATTATTGCTTTTTTTCTTTCCTAAAGTGTAGCATTTACTGATGGAAGAAAATTAAAGAAAAACGCGCGCTGCCACATTTTGTTCTGCCCTGACTGCTGGGCTCCATCCGGGCGGGAGCGCACAGCTCAGGCGGGTGGTACCTGCTCTCCGCTGGGGCT